CCTGGGCGATTTCAAACCCAAAGATAGTTAAAAACAGATCAATCCATTTCAAAATTTAGTGACTCAGAATTTCAATCTAGTCCAATTTTGTCAATCTTGAACTGAAAAGATTAGAGTCATTCTAGTTAGATGCAAAGGTAAAAACAATCGTTTCTATTACTTTGCATATTAACCCTCTATCCTAGGAGACATCGTGGCTGTCGGAGATTTACTTACCTAATTACAACTCTCCCTTCCCTCCCCAGTGGTGCCTGACTTCTCAGTAGGTGAAACAGTGATCTCACTGACTGGTTTTACCATGTGACTTGCTTTAATCATTAAAATGTGTCCAGAAGAACAGATGTTCTGAACTGAGGCTTTAAGAAGTTCTGCGTGTTTCCACTCACCTTATTATGCCCTACTGGCCCCTACTGCAACCATCACTCATCCAGCCTCTACCCCAGAATTAGAGGTACGTGAAACAGAGTGAGCCAAATCTATAATGTAGTTGTTACAGTCAATCAACAGAGCCATGATCAAGAAATGAAGATCTGTATATAAGCCACAACATTCTGGGATTGGTTTGTTGCCATACTAGAAGCTAACATGATGGCCAACAAAAAAGAGGGTTCAAGATATTGTTTCCTGCTACCACTTTTGTTCAGTTAATAATAATGATAATAGTATCACCAAATGACATGACAGTAAAGTCAGGACAATGATTTTTCTTTTTGAAGGCAGAGTTCATGCTCAGTATATCAGTCATCACTTATTTATTTTCTCATTTATTCTATTTGCTCAATAAATATTTATTACATGCTAAAAATTTTAAAATTATTTTAGCTGTTCTGTTAAAAATAATTTAACACTATGGTGATAGCACATGGGTAATTTGGTGATGGGAAGCCCAAGAGGATTGCAACTGAGATGGAAAAATGTACAAGATGATGTAAAAATAAACTATTATATATAAATAAAAAATAATAATTTAACAAATTAAAATTCCAGATCCATTCTCCAAAACAGTATGCTAAGCCAAGCAAGTTTTTGTTTTTGGATGGAGCAGGTGCAATCTTTACGACAACTAGATATCATCTGTATTAATCTTTCTAGAGATATATCTATCAGTCAGGATTAATGAGTTTTTTGGAAGATTTTTTTATTTATGCATACAAGAACTGGGTGTGGGGGGTGAGAGGACTCACCAGAGACAGACTGAGGAGCAGCAGCTGCAGTGCCTGCGGAGAGCTTCACAGTGCTGTGCTTTAACCCATTGTGCCACTAGGGAGGGCCCCAGTCAGAATAAAAGATTCTTGAGCCTCCTCTACCAAGGTAAGATCACTTGTACCTGATTTGTCATCCCCCACAGCACCTATGACAATGTTTTTGTTTTGTTTTGTTTAAGATTTACCTATTTATGCATATAAGAACTAAGGTACAAGCCAGAGGTATGGGGGGTAAGAGGATTCACCGGAGACAGACTGGGGAACAGAATAGGCAGATCAACTGAAATACACTGCTGAGGGGAGCAGTGAGCAGAACAGGAGAGGTCTGCTGCCCAAGTGGGTCACCTCCCTGGCCAGGAATGGAACTTGTGCTGCAGTGGCTATGGACAACTTCATAGTGCTATGCTTTAACCTGTTATGCCACAAGGGGGGAGCCCTAAGAAAATGTTTTATACTTAATGTTAACTGACTTCCCATTTCAACTCACAGTTACCAATATTTTCATTAAGGTCCATATCCCAAAACAGCATCGTGAGTCACAAAATTATTCATCAATTTTAAATGACAGAAATGGCCAGCTATGATCTTTCTACCTGCATACATGGGAATACAGTACTACTCACTGAATGAAGTTCAATATAATCTACACCAATAAATAATCCTGCAAAACAGTACACAGACAAAAACACTGATATGTAGGATGGATGGCGAGGTGACATACACATAAGCATGCAAGAGAGATGTACTTTCAGGTCACAATTTAAAGGAACTTTGCCAAGAGGCCTCCTAAGCCCTGCACTGGAGTGATTTTCTGTCCTCAGTCCCTTTAACCACCAGTCCTCTGTCCAGCTCTCTGACTTTCTCCATCAAGCTCTATCACTCAATGAATTATTATTTTCTTTCCTTTCCTATGTTTTTTTCTTGCTTGTCTCTTGATTTTCTGTCCCCCTTTCATACATCTAATCCTTGCTATAAGAAGACATTACTACACATTCACCTACTCCCCTTCACAACAAATCAACCGACTGCCATACAGCAGATATAATTTTCAGGTTACAGAGTCAATAAAAACAGGTGTGTTCCTGGCAGGATGCTTAGGGACTTAGAGATCTCCACACACCTTGGAGTTATTTTAGTGCTTGCATCATTAGAGTAATTTAAAGACGAGAATTTTTTCAAAAATTCTGCTGAATTCCATGATCTTTAGCTCATCAAAGCTGTACAGTAGCAAAGACATCTTAAAATATGCTGAGTTGACTAACCACCACATCTCCTCACAGCAATTTCTGATTGTAAATAATTCTGATTACGACTTAGTCATAGCTAATGAAATTATAAATAATCTGTTATATTGAGAAGCATACTGAAATTCCTAAAATTCAGATCAACTATAATGAACATATATTTTTCCTTTCTTCCTAAAATACTTTCCCCTTTATTCTGAAAATAGCACCCCCTATTTCTGGAAAATGTCATTCCTTCTTCAACTTAAAAGTCCATGGAATGTGGTTCAAATATAATCTCCCATTGTCTTATTCAGCCACAGGCTTGGGGTATGCACCTGTCCAAAGCCGGACGAATCATGGAACCCTAAGCTGCTGGCCAAAGTTGATCTATATTTGTATAGGTTAGGGTGTGTGACTCAAGCTAAATCAAGCAGTCTTCCCCCCATAGTTTCAAAAATGAAATGAAGACAAAGGGAAAGATCTCTCTCAGTGAGACTGGCATCTTAAGGTATGAGAGCTGCCAACAGCCATGTGCTCTGCATCGTGGAGAAAGCTGGTCTGAGAGCACAAAGCCAAGAAGAAGACATTAGAAACGGAGAAGACTGAGCACCCTGGCAGTGCTCAAGTCCTTGGATCAAGCTGTCCCTGACAAATGCCATATTCCTGCCTTCTGCCTAGATACATAATAAATTTCCAATAAAATCCCCTGTATATCTAAACCAATTCAACCTGTTTTTCTGTAACCAGTAGCACAGGAAATTGTACACTAAACAGACTCCAAGGTAAAGCCCAGGAATACTGTGAGAAATTCTAATGTATCTGCAGCAAATTTGACATTGATCAACAGACTGTCATTTAAGAATGACACTACTACTTTCACACTTAACAAAGATAAACCTTGCTCCCTTTTCATAAGATGATAGATTTCTTGAATTTTTCAGTGAATTTTCTTAGCTCCTAGTAAATGCCCTGAACATAGATGGTAAGTGGGTATACTCTGGGCTAGCAACATGAAAACTGGAATACTATGATTGCCACATCAACCTCTGCAATATCAATGGATCCAGATAAGGTTTTGTGTCCTGCAAAAATCCATGTCAGGAGAGCATGGAGAATTATTTTTATGTAGCACAATAATACAGATAAAATTGGAGAAAATTATTATTAATGTGATTATCTGTTGCCAAAAGAAATACACAGGTGGATAGATCAAAAGATATTTGGCAGGCCAAAAAAGGATATAGGTGGTTGTAGAAAAGACAATTTTAATCTCAAAATTTGACAATTTGACTCAAAAACTTAGCAAGAGGAAAACAAGGCTAGCTTTCCCCAAGGGGTGAGTCTAAGAAGCAGCCAGGAAGTCAAATTAAAGGGTAGAAGTTGTAAGTTAAAGCAACCATTTGTGTTTAATATAGTAAAGTGCATCTAAGAATAAAGCCATATACCTATGTTGACTTTATCCTCATAAGAAAGTATTTATATTCAAGTAATTATATTAATGACTAGTTTGCTTTGGGCTGGTAAGCCATCCCACCATAGAGGGAACCTAAAAACAAGGTTTGAGCTCAGAATTCCCTGCCCAAGACCCACTACTCTTAAGTAATGGAAACAGAAGTAAATATCCTACTTTCCACCTTTAGCTTGATCAAAGAATATATAATGTAAGTATCTCACTGACCAGAATGGAAGAAGAAATTTTATTTGCAATACAAATTGCAATAAATAAAGCAAATTTATTTTAATTCCTTAAAACAGATGTTTAAACCCTTAACTAATTCTAAGTAACACAAAAAGGATCTAAGTTGATTACCTGTATGAATTGAATTCTGATATTCATACACTTTAAAGTTTTTCATTAAACTTATACATTCACTTTTTTTTCCTTCACACAGCTATTTAGCACAATGCATAAGTTTCAAACATACTAAGAACAAAGAAAACAAATCACATTACAAAACCAACTTCTCAACTGCATAAACTTACTTAAACAGCTAAGTTCTAAACATCGAGTTTAGAAAAATAAAGCTTTGTCTAAGTTATTCCAGAAGACTATTTGCATATAACTTCTGTAAATCTACTCTCCAATATTCTGTACTTAATCTTTTCAATCAACTTAAAGAACTCTAAAAGTGTGTGTGTGTGTGTGTGTGTGTACACCAGCAGAGTAACTAAACAAACTCATCCTGCAACCAGGAGCTGCAAACAGCTCTTAAAAAGATTTTCAGAGATGGAGATTTAAAGATTTTAAAGGCTTAGCCACCACAGAAAATAGTGTGTCATTCAGCAAAATTTCTTTAGAGCCTACATTTATAATTCACACACACAACACACACACACACACAAACCTACAGATTCAGAAAACTGATAAGTATTTTTCTTCATCTCTACATTTATAACATAACTGCACTAGGAGACCTTATGAAGAAATTTACTAAAGTTAAATTTAATTCAAGATACTTTTTAAGACTTTTCATTTCCCAGCATAAGAATAACCCGTAAAATTTTCACTTCTAGTGCTAGAGAAATGATGAGCACATGCTTGGAGAAAGAACACTGTATTTCTTGTTACCTGCATTGATGCACCTTCTACTCTTGCCACACAGGCAACCCGATCCAGGAAAGTCACTGCTACAGGCACAGCCACAAAGAAGCCTTTACAGAAGGCCTTGAAGTATCTTTTTACCCAGCCTTTTGACTGTGCCATTCCTAAAAACACAAAGGAAACAAATATGACATCAGCCTCAGAAAAAAGTGAAAATGAAAACAGCACAAGAAAAGTAAGAGTTAATAATGAAGAAACCATATATTTCACACTTACTCTTGTAACCATTAGAATAATTTTAACTTAAATTTCCAAAGGTAAATACATGATTGCAGTATAATTCTGTTTAGTAGTTTAAGCCCATTTGCTAATGTCAGTGGAAATTTTCTAATAATGAAGCAGTAAGAAAAAAATCAACATGCAAAAGTAAATCTTTTTCTGTTGCTAACTAAATATTATGTGAAGAAGAGCCTTACAACCCTGTTCTCTCCTATAGTATTATAAGTTTTAGTGGGACAGAAGGCTGTCCAGCTTCCCTTGTAGCTATAGGTAACCATATGACTAGCTTGATAAATTGTATGTGAGTAGAATTTATATACTTCCACACTGTACTCTTAAAAAGAGCACGCTGGGCCCTCCCTGGTGAGGCAACAGGTTAAAGCACAGCACTACGAAGCCATCCACAGTTACTGAGGCACAAGTTTGATCCCTGGCCAGGGAGCTGACCAACATGGTGTGGCAGACCTCTTCTGACCTATCCACTGCTTCCCTCAGCAGTGTATTTCAGTAGATCTGCCAGTTCTGCTCCCCGCTCTGTCTCTGGTGAATCCTCTCACCTGCATACCTCTGGCCTGCATCTCAGTTCTTGTATGCATAAATAATTTAAAAAAAAAAAAGAGTATGCCCTTTCTGTTCTTTTACCCATTTTATGATACCTGTGATTACAAGGTAGCACTAGAAGAGAAGTCGTCGTCTCAAAATATAATACTAAGCAACAAAATAGAAGTTCTGGAAGTACCATAACTACCCTACATTGCTTACACTCAAGCTATTAAATGAGAGATAAATCACTTTCCAACATGTTTAAATTATCACAATATTGGCTCTTGATATAGTAACCCAAACTGATCTGAATTAATACAAAATCTAATGAGACCAAAAGGGGAAAAAAAATCACTTCATTTAAATTCAATACAGCTAATTACCAACCCTCATTTAGCCCTATAACCACTTGCTGAATTTCCAGATTTTCTAGAGATAAGATCCCTGAATTATCACCGGCAATGAAAAACAAAATAGTATGAGATCAAAATATGTAATGCTACTAGATCCTAATTGTTCATCTATTCTATTTCACTGGATGAGATAAAATGGATACAGGAGAACAAGCTATTCTAGTGGTAAAGCATTATACAAGAGTGGTGGTAAAAATGGACTAAAACAAAGGCTTAAGACACATGTTTCAAAATTTAAAGTGACAAGATTGGGCCTCCCTGGTAGTGCACGGGTTAAAAACAGTGCTATCAAGCAACTGCCAGCCACTGCAACACAAGTCCAATCCCTCAGCCAGCCAGGGAGCTGATCCATATGATGCAGCAGGTATCTCCTGTCTCGCCCACTGCTCCCATTAGCAGCGTTTTTCAGGCAATCTGCCTGTTCTGCTCCCCACTCTGTCTCTCGTGAGTCCTCTCTCTCTGTCTCTGTCTCTCTCACATACACACATACAAACACACACACACACACACCTCTGGCCAACACCACAGTTCATATATGAAGAAATAAATCTTAAAAAAATATAAAGTGACAGCTTAAAAATGTATTAACAATGACAGAGGAGAGGAGATATGAGAAGATATGTCAAGAGACAAAAGTAGTATATGAAAGCACTGCAATTTTGCCACCTTTGAGTTGCACACCAAAGTACTGAAGACATGCTCAGAGTCCATCCCCAAACATTTATAAATGTTTGGGGCCATAGCTTAGGTGCTAGGGAAAAAGCAGCTAGCTACAGTCCTTGTTCCTTCCACTGTAACAAGGAGTTATGTACCCTGAGACTGCCCTTAAACAAATTACTTCCAGTGAAAATGAGCATTAAAAAGGTCCAATGTCAGGCCCTCCCTGGTGGCACAGGGGTTAAAGATGGCACCACCAAGCTATCAGCAGCCACTGCAGCATAGTTCAATCCCCAGCCAGCCAAGGAGCTGACCCACATGGTGCAGCAGACCTCTCCCTACTTGCCCACTGCTCCCCTCTGGAGTGCGTGCCAGTCCATCTGCCTGTTCTGTTCCCCACACTGTGAATCCTCTGTCTCTGGTGAATCCTCTCACCCCCACACTTCTGGCCCATATCCCAGTTCTTGTATGCATTAAAAATATATATAAATATCATTAAAAATTTAAAAAAGACCCAATGTCCCTGAAGCATGATCAGAGAGACTTTCAACCAGAAAATGATTCAGAAGTCTTCCAAAAGAAATGTCATTTGAGGTAATACCAGGGCATTTCAGACAAAAGGAGCAGCACTCTTGAGTCTTAGGAACAAAAAAAAAAGTTCATTGTGATCGGAGTACATACAAAACTTATTATGTTAACTCTAAATTTTTATTCAGTAAATATTTACTTATAGACAGCCAAACACCAAGCTAAGGGCAGAAGATATAAAGATGGCTAACTATACAGTATATAATTTCAAAAAAATCTCAGTAAACAAAATATTGTATTTTCTATGTATATGTATCTAAGCACATAAAGCACTTAAAATAGGGTTATTATTAATGTTTTGTTTGCTTAATAAAACACCTATATGTCACTTGTATGGTTAAAAAGTACAGAAGGGAAAACACCTTTATCAAAATGCTAACCTGGTTAATTCTAGATATTGGGAATGAAGATGAGGACTATTTTCTCCTTTGAACATTTTTCCTTAAATATCAGAAACCAACAAAAGGAAGTCATTTCAATCTAGAGATAATATGGAGTAGTATTAGTCTTTATTTCCCATCATGATAAATAAATCTCACTTTTTCATTTGACTCTCTCTTGCTCTGAATAAGACAAAAAATTTAAGTAAGATTCATCCCTATTTATAGGTCAATGAATATATTTAACAGACTACCATGCTTTTATGTAGTGAAAGCAGGTTAGAACAGAACATGGCAAGTTTTTGAAAATTTAACTTTTTTTTTTTTTAATATTTATTTATAGGCTCTCCTCCCTGGTGGCGCAACAGGTTAAACACACACAGGAAGGAGCTACAGCTGACTCCGCAAGAGTTAGAGCCCAGGGAGCCAACCCACAGGGCACAGGGGACCTCTCCGGTTTTCCGGCTGCTCCTCTCAGCAGTGTACTTCGTGGATCTGCCTGTTCTGCTCCCCACTCTCTCTCTGGTGAATCCTCTCACCACCCCTGACCCTCTGGCCTGTACCCCAGTTCTGTATGCATGAATACATAAATCTTTAAAATTAATAAAATATTTATGCATACAAGAACTGGGGTACAGGCCAGAGGTGTGGGGAGGGAGGGTGGTGATGGCGACAGGATTCACCAGCGGCAGAGTGGGGAGCAGAACAGGCAGATCTATGGAAATAAACTGGTAAGGGAAGCAGTGGGCAAGCAAGGAGAGGTCTGCTGCGCCATGTGAGTCACCTCCCTGGCGGGGAATTGACCTCATGCTGCAGTGGCAGCAGGTAGCTTCCTGGTGCTGTTTTAACCCACAGCACCGCCACAGAGGGTCTGAAATCTTTGGACTTTAAAAAACCATAGAAATTCTTAACTTTCTACCCAGCCACAGTAATAAGCACTTCAGTTCAAATAGAAAAAAAAAAAATAGGGCTGACAGATCACTGGACAACTAACCTGACTAAACTATTTTAAATTAAAAAACTGGTTTTGAACACACAAACCTATGCTTACTTACATATAAACACAATTATTTTTTCCTAAAGTTAATGCATTTCCTTATCTATATAAGTTGTCAAGGAATCATTGGGATGGTCTTGTCTTATGTTCAGACCTGTATAAATTTAAAAATACCACAGTAATAAGCACTGTTTTGCAACCATCCAGGCTGGGTAGTTTCCCATCAGTTATAGCAATTTGAAGGAGCGTTTTGAAATCTTTGGCATTATTTTCACAAGTTTTAATGGCAAGCAGAAGAGACAAGCCTGCAGGGAGAAGGTGCTTGAGCCCCTTGCCCCAAGATGGCACCGCCCTCCATTCGCTTCTGCCGAGGCACAGGTGTGGTGTACACCCACACATGCACACACACCCTCGCTCAGTGTCCACAATCAGGCACACGTGCCCTACACACCCACGTGCCTTCTGTGTTAACAGGATCAAGGCCACAGATGATACCACAGAGGCCAATGGTATAAAAGCCTAACCAACTTCATTTACCCTGCAAGCACCTGCATCCATTTCTGTGAGAAAATTTCACAGAAGCTACATTGATATAGTACCAAAATAAACCCTGGCCAAAAAAAAAAAAAAAAAGGAAAGAAGAAAAGAAACAGGTGGGGGAAGGAGGGAGAGGATATTTGTATCAATAACTTCATTCTTCTGGTAACCACACAAGTGACTTAGGTTCAAAACATTGCTCCTGAGAAAATTACTCCTTTAAGTAGTAGGCACACCTGGCTCATTGCTTAAGTACCTAAACTGAAAATATTTTAAATAAGCTTTCAGATTCCATTAAAATCCTATCTGCCACCTGGTAATTAGCACCTGCAATTGAAGGTTTCTTGACAACGCTGACCTCAGTCACATAGACCAGTACTTAAAGCCTCTTTCCCATAATGACTTGTTATAGTTTGACTATGCATGAGTTCATGTGAAATATCTCTTAAATTCACCATTTTAGCCTGTACAAAGTCACCAATCACTCATCTGCCAGGCAGAAAAATATACCAGGTAATAAAGACACTCAACTCATCCAAATTATAAAAACTATTTTAAATGGTATATAACACTAAAGGTAAGAGAAAAATAATAAATTACAATGCAGTATCTTATATGAAATGTAATTTCCATCATGTAATAAGATTCGCATTCATATAACCAAACCAAACTTCTGTTTTTAAAAGCCAATCATCAAACTATGACTATCAGAGATTATAAGCACATGGATCTAACAAATCTAACACCCAAGTGTCGTAATGTAACAAATG